TATGTATATTGTTCACAACCATGGCAACACATGATGTAAATTAATATTTCTATTGAATATTTCAAAATTCGGAGATATAATAAATATATTGTAATATATAATATTTTAAAAAACTTTAAATATGCAGTTATAACGTGTATCACGAAATTTTTGTGTAAAATATTTTTCTATATTCTCACGATTTAGCTTAATGAACATTTTTAGTTAGCTGTGAGAGATTACTTCAATAAATACGTAAAAAAAATAATTATAAAAAAAACCTGTTTCTTATTTTCAGTTGTTTTATTCAAAGGTAAAAAATAAATTGCCATAATATAAGAATATTTTTAGATGTTTGTTTGCGATACTGAATGACGAAATGCATAATGAATAAAAATTATGAAGGCAATGATTACTTACTCAACTGTCTAATTAAGTTCGGTCGTCGTCTGTTGGTCGCTTTAGAGAAGAACTTGGTGTAATCCATAATGATCTTTATCGTGCGAGATAACTGTCACAATCCCTCTTTTTTTCTTGATGAGATCTGCTCTTGTAGATGCTATGTCGCGCGTAATTGCACGTATTATTTGTATAACACTGGATTTCAAGACTCCTACGATACCGAGATTTTAAAGCAGTATTGTTAGTGGTGCCACTTTTTTCACGTAAGCGCGGTGAAAATGGTCCGGTAAAGTCGTTATATATAAGAATTATATTGTAAATATCTTGTGTTTATATATTTGTCTCTAAAGGTTATCTGTAAATAAATAAAATGTGCCATAAGTTATGAAAGGTTTTGGTACATCATTTTTAGCTCTTTTCTCTGGTTATATATATTTGCATTAAAAAGCATTACAAATTTTCATTTAACTATAATTTTAATCTTATTTACCTTTAATTTCGCTAATCTGGTGCCCGTTAGAATCTTTTGCGCTATATGACGCGTATATTGTTTACACAGCTGTACGCGATTGAAATGCGTGAAGAAAAGCGAATACCACACTGTAACTTGCAACACTGCTTTAAAGACACATCTGCTGCGCCTAATGAGAGATTCACGATAAAAATTAATAGAGTTATCATATCAGTCTTAGATAAGAGTTGTTTACAGCAATGTCTCCCAACATCGTATGTTGAATGTTATCATATAATGGACTTGTTTCAAAAATTGCACTATTTTAAAATCATGATGATGATAACGATAAAAATAGAAATCAAATAGGAATTGTACGTGTGAATGAATATACGTGAAATATATACAAAAGTTCTTTTCTATGCAGTTATATAAACAATTAAATGTAATATGGTTTGATGTGAATACTTTAAATATAGAAGCAAAAATAAAATAATCACAAAAATAATAATAAATAATAACTATAAAAATATTTATTGTTCAATATTGGAACACGAAAAGATTTTAATGAAACTTATATATTAACATATCGTACCTTTATGTGATAGGATGCTATTAAAGAAAAAGTAGAAATTTTGAAATATAGTCATAACATTTATTCCAATTTATTAACATCTTGTACGTGTATGTATATGTATGTATACTTGTGTGGGTAACCACGTGTATCTGTAAGCGTGTATGTCACTGTTTCCATCGCCTTTGTTGTTTATTTTTTTCCCTTTAACGCTTCGGATAACATTTTGAGTAACTTATTGTATTATGTTGCCCGATAAACGCTCCATTCGATATCGATCGATCGATCATACGCGCACAGCGCACGATCGGCAGTCGGTTGGATTTTCGATCGATCTCGAGTAAAAAAACAGCCATCGACGTCGAACAGAACGTTCGGCTTTCGGGTTTCGTTCCGGCGACCGACAGAACGGGGCTTGTATGTTGTTTGTCGGACATAAATTCACCAAATTGTTGACTCCATCCGTTTCCCTAATTGTTTTTTTGTAATTGGCTCGATCGAGTGACGTTAATGGTCGTAAAGAACAATTGATGAACGAAAAATAAAGTGAGAGAAGTCAAGGCCCACATCGCTAACAAACTTGTACCTAGTTTTATACAAAGATATATATGAAGAAAAAGCTTAGCAGAGCTAAAGTATCGCGAGAGATAAAAATAACAGTGTTAATGAAACTAAAAATTCTTGACTAGATTCAAATGTTAAATAAGTTTTGATATTGGTTGACTTTACATTAATCATATGACTCCAATTTCTAGTTTTATTTGCAAGTCACTGACAGTTCTCATACATTGCGTATATCATATTGTAATTAA